TTTTTTTAACTGTTGCAACTGAATAACAAGTAGAATTTTTTGATTATGGAATTATTTTATAGAGTTCTGCTTCTTTTTTGGGGAGTCATTATTTTCATCTACAGGGAAAAGTGTCTTCAGAATCCTACAGAAAGTACCATTTTTATTTTTTAATATAGCTTTTATTCGTTTAGAGGGAGTTAAGTGTGGAATAAAATTTTTCATACCAGATGAGGAAGGTTTCCTAGTAGTTGTTCGCACTGGACAGCATTTGAATCTTTTAGGTGTTTGGGGTGGTTTATCTTCGTTGTAGTACAATGGTTGCTGGTAGTTTAAGACTTACCTTACATCATATTGAATTTTAGACTGGGTTATATCTCAAACCAGAGGAACATGGGCTGCAGATAAAATTATATAACTCAAACATTCCGTAATTAATTAATTATTATGTTATTGAGTATATATGTGATTTTTTTTTTTATATGCATCTCAGTGACAACATATGGAACTTATTGAAGGATCCTGCTATCATTATAAAGCTGAGAAATTTTGCAAGCTATTGGTTTCGCTGTTTTATTAGGTTATGATTGTTCTGGCCTTGTTCCTTTTCTTACTTTGCAGTACTTTGGCGAAGTTGTAAATGTGGAGCTGGTGATGGACCGTGGCAAGTTTATATAGTTCTTCCATGCTGTTAATTATTTGTATTTCCCCTGCTCTAAGTTGGTTTGCATTTTTAGGTTAATCTTCCAAGGAAAGTGGATATGTTCAGTTCAAGACAAGGGCAGATGCGAAAAGGCTCAATTATACATGGATGGGTAGGTCCACAAAAAAATTGGGTTAAAATTGATTGCTATTGAGAAATGGGAGGTTGGAAACTGTTGTTTAATTGCCTTAAGGCAGGCCCAAATTGATGGTAATGTTGTTCATGGACACGTTTACCTTATCTCGCCCAAAAAGGTTTCACACCACCTCCAAAGCCTGTTCCTGCTGCTTCAAAAGAGATGCTCCTAGAACTGATAATGTTAGTGGGGCTGATGAGAAGATATGGACCGAAACGACCTAGAGAATGTATGCCACTTTCTGTAGATCTATTTTTGGATAATTACAGTTATTTAGTACATATTTAGTAAAAGCTTAACTTTTTACGTTTATAATCAGCTTCTCCCGGCGGAAGCCACTACCCTCTCCTCGGAGGAGATCTCCTGGACCTAGAAGAGTGGATCTCCAGAAGACTGCCAGATTCTCCTCCACGTAGACGTGCAGAGTCTCCTTCGTCGTAGGTTAGAATCTCCTTATCACCGAGGTGACACACCTCCCGGCGAAGACCTGCTTCTCCTCCTAGAGGTCGTTCTCCATCCCCTCCACCAAGGCGGCATGATCTCCTCCAGGTTGGCTACTAATCACATTCATTATTTTTTGCTTGTTTAGTATTGAGTGGTTTTAAAGTGTTGACTAATTACTGTCCATGTAGGCCCTCTCCCCGAAGAATGCGCGGTTAGTCCATCCGCAGACGTTCCCCGCTTCCTCCAAGGCGCCGGTAATTACTGATTGATTAAGTTGGAAAAATTCTGGTTAAAAAAGTATTGTCAGATTCATGAGGTCCAAAACGGATAAACCAACTGTAATCAGATAATTTGTTTTAGGCCCAACCCCTAAACCAACCCATGAGCACCCACCACCCTTAAGCGAGTGGTATTTCTTGGATAAGAATATGGCAAATAGCATGGGAGATATAACTTCCATTTTGCTTGAATTTGGAAAATATGAGCAGTATTTCAGTATAAAGTGAAAGCGAATTCTGCCCTTTATTATGAGGGCAAGAGAAGAAAAAGTCACTGTACATGGTTGGGTATAATTTCATACTCTAATTGCATGTTAAATGAATTTAGCATTCAAGCATTAGTTTCCTAAAATAGATGTGCATTATACATTCATGTCACTGGTTCTTATCTCATAAGCAAAGTTTATTTCACTCAGGTTCTCTCCTAGACGAGCTCGCAGTCCTCCAAGAGGTCTCCACTGCGCAGACGCAGTCGCTCCCCTATTCGTAGGCCAATTCGTTCTCGTTCAAGGTCTCTCTCGCCTAGAGGTAACATCTGATTGTCTAAACTTTTCTTGTTGGGTATTTATCTTGCCCCCTTTCCCCCGCATCGTACTTTCCCTTTTACATTACAACTTGTTTCAGACTCTTCCAGTGATGATAGTAAGACATATGGCATTCACTTTTTTGGGAGTTTTAAAGGGTCTCCAATGAATGTTATTCACTTTTAGTTTGCAACATTCATTTTAAACTATTAAAAAAAAAAAATTTGGTCTCTTTCTATTATCCTTTTTTTTATCCTATGTTTATTTCATGGTAGAGATAACTTTATTAAAAAGGAAGACAAGTGAATTTTATTAGGAAGGAAAGATAGATTCTTTCTTGCCCTTTATTATTAAGTTTTTGCTTTAACAACCTTTTTCCACTTTCTGAAAATTCTAACAGAGCATTTTTTGATGATTTTGTCTAAAAGAGGCCGAGTACCAGCTGCAAGACGCGGGCGGATCATCCTACTGGACACCTAGTCCGACGGGTTAGTGTATTTGTTTTTGTTTTGAGGTAAGAACCTTCCTTGCTTGATGTCTAATTTAGCTCCACTGTCTCTTCATTGTAACAGGTACCCAGAAGGATATCAAGGAGTCGTCTCTAGAAAGTAATTTTCTTATCACAATTATATAATGTATTTGGCAAATCATGGTCCTACCTAGATTTCTATATATTATTTATTTATTAACATATGTCTGTCTACACTGTCATGCAACAATGATAATTTTGCTATATTTTTTAATCGAATTAATTTTAAACAATTAGACTTTGATAATCTATCATGCTATCAGTTTTCCCTTAAGAAGTAAGATGAGGGGTTGCAATGAGGATGTGGTATGGAGAGTGGAAAAGGACTAGAATTATAGATGTGGGATAGGCTCAAATCTGTCGGGAATGTATTTTTTCTATTAAACATAGTACTGAATCTTATGCAATGCAATGTGGATGAAATGAAACTAGTGCACAACACATTTCTCCTCAATCAATTATTACAGATTATTATTACATATTTACTAAAATATTCAAATCAGATTGAAAAATCATGATGGATAAATATGGAGGCTACTTCTGGAATGATTAACTAATAATTGTGAGTGGGAGAAAAGAGTAGTGGGCAGGCTGACCGACCTACTACATTTGGTTAGATGTTTCAGTGTGCTTGATATTTGGGCAACAGATAAATCCAGGGATCTGATGCAATTGGTTTTCTCACCATTTTTAGGTACTGGTGTAGCTAATGAATGTGGTCTAGTTGGAACTTAACCCTGTGCTTAAATTTTGTTCTTTAATGTGTCAGTTGACAGTTTTTCTCAAATATCGTACATGCCCATTTTTTGCCTGGATTTTTGACAGTCATCAGAAAATTAATGTCTTTGGAGCTAGTTAGCATAGCTCCTTTGATGGTAGCTTTAAATTAACCCAATTTGGTTTGTATTTTTTTTTTTTTTTTTTTTTTTTTTTAAGCTTTGCACTGATAGAAACTGGATTTATTTGTAGGCCTTGAGAGGAAGAAGCAGTAGCAACAGCAGCAGTAGCAGTTCGCCGCCTCGCAAAACCATAGGTAGGTAATTTTCTCTGCTCTTTTCTCACCCTCATTCTCTCTATCCCGCCTGTCTTAACAGTTAACGATGTGAAAGTTAAGTTCCTATAGACTTGCCAAAGCTATGATGTATGTGTGGGTGTTAATTTATTTTCAAAGACTTTCCAGTTGGAAGAGGCTATACATGTGTTTAGTATTTTGACAAATTAAAAACTCTTGTAGCGTATTTTTAATTCTAGTTTGTCTACTTCCATGGACAATCTCTATGTTTTCTTTTTTTTGTTTTTTCCTATTTGTTCCTGATGGGCAGCGACAAGCTCTGGTATTTATATATGGATGATTGAATTGCTTTAATTTTCTATTACTTTGATTGAATTGCAATATTGCATGTTTAACAGGGAACAATTTACCATTTGGCTCAATTGAATTCTCAGAGCTGAAACTAATTCAATGATTTTCCTCCTAATGGTTGAAACTGCAGTTTATTTGAGTAGGGTTGCACGTGTCCGTTTCCAAGGGTTACAGTGAAGCAACTCAAATCAACCCATTTATCATTCAAAATCAAATCTTATAATTTTAATTAGTATCACCAGTAAAGCATAAATCAAAATATTACTGCAAGTACAATCTAATGTAGATAAGAAAAAAATCACTTTCGTTCATAAAATAAGGGCAAAAAGGAAATAAACTCTATGTAATATAGTAGGAAAAGTAGAATAAAATTTTCTTCTATCAAAATTCAAACTGAATGTCTATTCAAACATCAACACACTTAATCTCACCTTTAATATATGTGTACAAATGTGTTAGTTATACCATTATATACTGAGAAATGGTTACAATATACAATGATATGGAAGAAACATATGAATAGAGGCGAAGGCATGTTTCCATCCAAATTTGCAAAGTTTTCATCTTTGTTTTATATATTCTAGATTCTTACTCTTAAGTAGCATCGTTAACGATTTTACTTTCATCGATACATTATTAAAGGGTATTTATACTATACTACCATTGACAAATAAATTAAATAATTTTTAATCCTCAAATTAGTAGAATTAGAAAAATAATCAGTTACTTTCAAATTATTTTAATAACATCATTTATTTTCAATCCTCGCATCATCCCCCTCTAACACCCAACCACTGTCACCATCACCTAGTCTTTGTCGTCAGAAACTCTATCAACTATCACCGAGGCTGCCATGACCACAGCAACCGGATCCAACTTTATACCATGAAATCAAAATACCCTAGATCCAAAAACTAAACAATTAGAGAATCTACTACCACAACACTAGCCACTATCGCCAGTATCAACACCTAACTTCAAAATTTTATTTCAATCCAAACAAACTTCATCACCAAGAATCCCAACAACTCTTATCAAATTTATTTAAGCAACCACCTGCAAATGAGCCATCACCAAATCGCGGACCAAAACAGGGCCAACACGGAAATCCACAACCCAAACTAACAAAAACCAAAAATCCCCAAGAAGCCCACAAAAAACCGTTAAGAAAATAAACTAAAGATCACTGTTTTAAAACCCGGATCGGAGGCAACCTGCTTTGCTACCCGGGTCAATCGGTCCAACTGTTGGACTGGTGATGTCTCATGCTGACGTTAGCACTGACCAAAAAAAAAAAAAAAAAAAAAAAAAAAAAAAAAAAAACCCTTTTTTTTTTTTTTTTTAGATTTTAAGATTTCCATTTTTTTAATAAGACAACACAACTTAATTACTGCTCAACATGATTCAAAGTTCAAATTCAATAATAATCCCAACATAATTAAATATTAACAATAATCCAAAGTCCAAATCCAAACATGATGTTGTGTTCATTCATTGCATATTAAATGACAAATAAAATAATTAATAACAAAACATTTGGTGGGCAAGTGTTTTTTCTTTGATCTGTCTCTATGTTGATTCAGCTTCAACACTAGCATCAAAATTCATCATCATCATCACCATCACCACACCATCACCATCACCATCACCATCACCATCACCATCATCCAATAAATTTCAGTAAAAAATAGAAATCATAATTTAAACTTGTAATTTAATTTAAAATAGATACAAGTTGCTTAAATATTTGAAACCAATCTTTTGAACCATCGGTTGAATCGTAAAAAGAAGGGTGATCATCAACTCCAGCAGAAATATAGTCCTTCTCCATATAAAATTTGTTCCAACTCCTCAAATTAAGTTCATTGACCTCCTCTTCATCATCAACTATCCAACCTCAGTTTTGTCGATACTTTATAATCAATAGGATGCGAAACTTATTTTATTGTAACACCTCCTAAAATACCATAATGAAATATTAAAAGCATGACAAGTAAAATATCAAGGAAAATAATAGATAATAACAATAAGAGTGATGCATAATTGAGTAATTGACAATGTTTTATACCTGTTTTGCAAACGCAAGTTATAGTGAACAAAAACAAGATTATTCAACCTTTGATGCTCCAATCTATTCCTCTTTTTAGTATTTATGTTCACATCCCAAAGAGCTTGAAGTTTGGCTAACAATTTTTATTGCAAACTTTTGCAAATTTGAAGTACTATACCCAAATGATCTCCACCATTCATCTAATTGAAAATTAAACATAATAAATAAATTAGACTTAAAAAACAAAAGAGCTCATAAATTTTATAACTATTACATACCAGGATGTGTGGTTTTGGCGGTTTCAAGAGCAAGCCCACGAGAAAAGCTTTCCTCCTGGTTTGAACATAATCTACTCTCTTCCATTAAACCTGTCTTGTTCAAATTGAACGCACTTGCTTTACTATCAATAGTATCAAGGAAACCACTCATGACTTCTGGCTTGGCGCAAAAAGATGCTTCGTCATATTTAAAGGTAGGATTCAAATAATAAGCCGCAACATGGATATCACGGCGCAACGTCCTATCCCAGTGTAGCTTAATGATTCGTGTATAAGGTTTGTATAATCTCTTTTTATTCTTAAACAACTTCTTAATTGCATTTTTTGCTTTGTACATGCCATCATACACATATCCTATTGCAGGCATCTCATTTAAGTCAACAATCCGCAACAAGCGCATCAATGGGCTCACAACTTTGGATATCTTACCCATATCATCCAAAAAATCGCTATCTAGAATTATACAAATAACATGTTTGCCTTTATTACTTTTTGCATATCGAGAATCGACAAATAACTTATCTGTCACCATGGCTTGCAAGTCATGTTTGTGCTCATGAAGGCTTCTCATTGCAATGAAAGTTGTAGCAAAACAGGTTGCGCTCAGACGGACAATTTCTTTCCAACCCTGTTTAATTGATAAATAATTGATGTTAGTCAATTATAAAAAATGCATATTATGTTATGACTTGACAAGAACATGAGCTAAAGGTATATTACCTGTCTTTTCCTCAGCCAAGCTATCAAGAATGTATGATTATATACAAACTTTGTCACCTCAGAAGCATGTCTCGCAAGATAAACTATGTGATCCATCTTAGTTATGTCTTTTAACACCAAATTTATGCTATGTGCTGCACAGGGTGACCAAGTAATGCTCGGATATTTCTTAGACAACATTCTTCCAGCAGCTTTATAATTGGATCCATTGTTTGAGACAAAATGGACAATACTATTTGATCCAATCCATAAAGATACCTCCTCAAACATCTTCAACAATGTCCCAACATCTGAAGCATCAACTGATTTCACAAAACAAACTCCCTTAGGACAATACACCATAAAATTGATCAATGACTTATGTGAATTATCAATCCAACCATTAGCCATTAAGGTACATCCAACATTTTCCCAAATCAAGAAGCTGCACTTCCTTCTTAGCATCTCTTAACAAATTGACACGCAAACCATGATAATTTGGGTGTTTATACCTAGGCCCAATTGCAACTATAGCATCCACCAAAGGCTGAAGATAAATTGAATTTACAATATTAATTAGGATGCAAGCATCATAAAAGAATCTTGCCAAAGCCATGTCTGCTCTCCACGTCGCATCTTTTCCAGCTAAACAACTCCTAATTGATGGTTGAGATCCAATAATTGTCCTGGAGAAAAATAGTCACCAACCCCAATAGGTTTTTTTCCTTTTTGATTTGTCTAGCATTGTACTTTGTTTTTTACTGCCAAACCTACCTTCATTTATTGGAATTTCTGATGGACGAAACTCTTCACTATCTTCATTTAACATATCTCCCTCAAATCCATGTATGGTAGCACCGTAAGGAGTATTATACTTACTAGAGTCAACCTTCTCTTTATTCTTTATCCCAATGTCTTTTAGTGATTCTCTCATCAAGTATTGAACATCAAAAGGAACTTTTAAACAAGCACCAACATCCCTCTTTGTAATCCCACAATGAAGACATTTTAATGTCTTCCTTCCATTTGGATCTACACCCTCAATAACACGTGCCCATGTTATATCAGTCCTACCTCTACTAGATTGTGAACAAGACCTAGAGACAGATGTTGACATTGTCTATTTTTAATCTTTATCTACCAGTCACACAAGAAATAACAACAATTTATTATATACTTGGCATATTAAAACACCAGCATATTATGGACACATTCAAGGATTGAATCTAATTAATGCAAAACTGCACTGAAAATAAAGGACAAACATGATAAAAGCTACAAGATCATAAAATTATACCAAAGAAAAAGAGCAAACACATAAATTAAGTATGATATGACCCACAATAGCTTAATGGACAAAAAAGAATTCCACTATATTTGAAGTAGTTGGCATACAAGGCTGTAGTTCTTGCCATAGCGAACTGTTATGAAGTATAATTATTAAGGGCTATGTTTGACGTAAACATCTGTTGCATGCTTCAACACACTAAGTCAATCAAACAAAAAACACTACAAGGTAGAACAATTGGCTGAGCTACTTTCCACAATAAGACGGAATCACATTTTTCAAAAGAATCATTGTTTCCAAATTTCATTATTAGATAACTTAAAATATAAACTAAAAACTTATATTTTTAATATAGCTCAAATAATCTAGATATGACTTGTTTATGAATAAGCAGTAAAAGCTTTGAACTATAAGATGACAGTAGAAATTACACAATTACATAGCTATACGGAGACTTGATGCAGTTTTTCCATAACGTAAACTTTCCTATAGACTAATAAATAATCTCTAATTCTCATAATCAAAGATAATGTATTCCTCAAATTATGAGTAACAACATTGGCATCAGTCAAATGACCATTCTCACCCACATAATTAATTCAAGATAGACATGATTGGTGAACAATCTAGATAAGCTATAAATTATTTCTAAACTCATCATCATATAACAAGAACATAGATACATCAACTAGATCTGCAAAAATGGAAGGGGCGTGACTCATGAAAAACTTACACTTTTTGAAATGTAGTTGTGATGTTGTCGATTTCTAGTGAGGAATGGAGCCATCGTCATCATTGTCATCGATTTCCAGCGAGGAATGGAGCTGTCGTCATCGTCATCATCGAGGAATGGAGCTATTGTTGTCATCATCGTCGATTTCCAGCGAGAAATGGAGCTGTCGTCGTCGTCGTCGTCATCATTGAGGAATGGAGTTGTTGTTGTCGTCATCGTCGATTTCCAACAAGGAATGGAGCTATCGTCGTCGTCGTCGATTTCCAACAAGGAATGGAGCTATCATCATCAATTTTCGACGAGGAAGGCGTCGTCGTCGATTTCAGAGAGTAGAGTTGCGATTTAAGACTTCAGAGAGTGGAGTTCATTGAGATTGAGTGGCGATTTGAGTGGTGATTTGAGTGGGTAGCTTAGATTTCAGATTTTCAGAGGATAGAATGGTGTTACCGTGTTAGGGCTTTTTTCCCCTTTTGAAATATTGGACCGATTTATCAAGCAGTCCGATTGGACTGGCAGTTCTCACTATTTTCTCGGTTCAATGGCGGTTCATAGCAGGTTATTGAATATAACTGGGTTTTATATTGATTCGAATCAAACATGTGATTGGGTCCCGGTCCAATTGGTTGGACCGGCTGGTTTGGTCTGATTTTTAAAACCATGCCGAAGATATCGTGACCGCTGGTTTTCTCACCCAAACTAACATAAATCATCACCCTAAGCGAAATTCCTTTTCCCCCTAGCTTGACCGATTAGTTTCTTGGTCGAACTTGACCTGTTTTTATGTGAATTTCCCAATTGCACGATCCACAACTCATGCCTGATTTGGGCTGTTCTCGTCGCCATTGGCCTTCCCCAAACTTACCATCAGAATCCCCACCTTCCATTGACCAAAACCCTCAAGGTTCCCGCTTGTCTCCTCCCACCGATCACCGGCTACCATTACATTAGTGTTTTGGATTTCTTAGCCAAATTCTAGTCAATTCTAGTAGCCGAAACTCCCCCCTCTCCCCCCACCCCCCCCCAAAAAAAAACCACCACCGACGCCTCCTTTTCGAAACCCCTATAACCCCACCTTCTGGCACTCACCGATTGACGTCTACTGCCGCATTTGGGTTGCTTTTCTTAGTTGTTATGGCTTCGATTTGATTGGATTTTGGTTTGATTTGGATTCTTGAATGATTGGCTTCGATTTGATTGGATTTTGGTTTGATTTGGATTCTTGAATGATTGGCTTCGATCGTACCTTGCGTTGTTGCAACTCACCACATGATTGAGGAGTTACGGGAGTCGACTGTGGGCGGCGACTATGAAAGGGTTTTTTTGTTTTGAATTTGGTCTGCTTGAGTTTACGAATGACCACTTTACCCTTTGACGATTACGTAAAACAATTTTCTATTAATTTAAGGGTGAAAATTTGGAATATATGGACCAAGGGTGGAAACTTGCCATTCTGCTAATCTTTGGGTGGGAACATGTCATTTGCTCTAATAAATATGATGGATAGCGTGGATGTGAATTACGAAGGGTGGAGTTAGTGATGTGTTGTAACTACAACATGCAAATGTAGCAAGTATACTAGTTGCACAAGTAATAGAGTGATGAGTAGAGTATCGTTCTCACGAGGATAGTGTTACTAAGTACCAATTTCCCTGGTTTAAGTCCTAATTGAAGAAACAATAAATTGGATTGATGGAAAATTAACAACTAAATACAAATGCAAAACCCAACAACTTAAATAATTAAACAATGCTAAAACAAATGCTAGGGTGTTGAATTCACCTAAATACGCTAACCCAAATCATAGAATCTATTACCCAAGTTCTAATTCCTTGATTGAAAATCGAATTCCCTAAGTTGTAAACATACATTCTCATGCTACATTTCCCTACTTATCCCTATTAAGCTTCCGCACCCAACAAAATGAAGATTAATAGTTCAAAGGCTTTTAAGCTTTGTGGAATTCTATCTAGATTTCATAGATCGCTAAACCTATCTCTAGTGTTTGCTAATCTATGGTATTTATCCCAGGAGGCACAATCACAAATCACTTCTCAGTCTCATTGTGAACAACACACATTTGAATGGTGATCAAGCATCCAAAAGTCATTAAGCAAAGAGATAAACACTCAATCATGAAATTAAAACTCAAAGTAAATCAATTCATATAAATTTGAATCATTATATCAAGATTACATCAAACCCTAGCTAAACAACTCAGTTCATACTTAAAAACGAAATAAAATTACAAAAACAAACTGAATCAAGATTTATCATTGAAAAACAAGCAAAAGATGGAGAAATCTTCTCTAATTTGAAGCCTAAATCTTCAATAATCTTCTCCTTCCATGAGCTGCCTCCCAAATGATGAACCAAGACTCCTTTTGTTTCCTTTTCCCTCTAATTTATACCTCTCTCACTTAAGGACGAAGCCCCAGCAAGTCAAAACGCGTCGTTTTATTTTTTACATCTGCTACAGTTTTTTGCCGCGGCGAAGCTTTGTACTTGCCACGGTGAAGACTTTCGGGCCAAATTTGAGCATGATAGATTATAAATCTGAAAAAGTGTTAAACATATGAATTGTAGCCCTTTAAATTATCTTTCTGGTAGTTCAAGAATCATCACAATCAGAGGTCTACAGCTCAAGTTATGGCAGAAATACCGAAGCACGTCCAAAGACATTTTTCTTCAGTTCCCAGCGCACTTTTCACGACTTCAAGCCACGTTTTCACCCTTGTCCAGTCAGAATTAGGAAAAACCCAAAACATGAAAGTTGTAGCTCTTCTTCTTAGCTTTCCAAAGCTTCTAAATTCAGGTCATTCCAAGTTTCCAAGCTCAAGTTACACAATTTACGCTCAAAACTGTCATTTATGCTAAAAATCATCGTTTAGGCCTACAAAGACAAATTAATAGAATTAGGTAGCAATTATGGCCCAAATTGTATGAAAAGTATCCTAAATCCTATCAAAATTCAATGCAAAATCATAGTGTAAAATATGATTATCAGTTAGCAACTAGGGTGGCAGTGTGGCTACCCTTGGTGGAAATTTGAGAAATCCTTTTTTTAATCAAATGTCTAGAAGACTAATCTACCAATCACGGAGAATGCCACCAAATCTAGCTGTAAACTGCGTAAGTACAGTAGAGACTTGGGCATTAGGTTTAAGCATCTTAGCTTGCAACCAAGCTTGAAATTCAGACATCCGATTTCTCCATTTGTGTGGAGGAAGATCATCAACAGTAAAAGTATGGAGCTTTGCTGAAGTTGCATAAGAGTCATGCTCAATCATAGTATGACAGGATTATCGATACATAGGCGGAAAGTCTGGAATGGAATCATCACCTTCAGGCATCTCATCATCAACCTTAGAGACAGTAGGTAGTCTTGAAGATTCGGGTTGATGGGTCATCAGTCGGGGATAAACATGAAGATGTTGATCAGAAGTATCAATTTCAGAGTCAAAGCCACTTTCAAATGATTCATCAATAGAAGGGATATCAGCTTCTGATTCTGTATGGAAGATAGACAAAGAATCCTGAGAAATACCTGAAGCTGCAAGACGTTGTCTTTTTGCCAAGTCTCTAAAAAAAGATCTCATAAAATTGAAAGAGACAGGATAATTTTAAGAGACAGGATCAGCAGAAGTTTGGCGATCTTCCATCATCATTACTTGCATTGGAGCCTTATCCTTAGATAAAGGACGATGAGACTTAGGAGATGGAGCATCTGAATGACTGGAAGAGAAAGAGTCAGGTATATCATCGGATGGTTTTTGAGTTTTAGCATAATATTTTTCTTGCTTCTTTTGTTCTTGTTCCAGCTTAATCTTTTCATCACGTTCTTTATGGAACTTGGCATATAACTGTTCAGTGTTGCCAAAAGCCTGAACAACACTAGAAGGTATTTGAGGCAAGACCAAAGGTTGACTAATCTTTAGGAAAGGTGAAAAAGAGAGTCGTGGCCATGCTGTTGAAGAATTAAAAGGATTTGGCACCAAAGACATTTCAAGAAAGTCTGTGGTTGTCTGAGTTTTTGCTTAAGATATTCCTATTGAAGTGATGCCATTTGGGTTTTTAGTGACTTCATTTTTGCTTCCTTCTGGGGACATTAAGCTGAATAGCCATGAGAGGTGTTGACAATATGCATTAATTCCTAATGGAGTTGATCAATCCAGTTTTGGAGCTGATTAATCTGGTTTTTATAATCGAGAAATCAACATAGTGTGGTTCTGAGACTGAGAGTCCACCCGATGAGCTATCAGATCCAATTTTTGTTCAATTCTGGTAATGGTTTTGTTTTAGGTTAAAGCATTTTCAGTCTACCAATTGAGAACTGCTTCAGCTTGGGAGAGTTTTGGAGTGGATCCATCAGACTGTATGACTTTGGAAGGAACCACTTTTGGTTATTGAGTCCCAGTTTCCTTAAAAGAAGGAAAGTCTGTGTCATAATTGAAATTTTGTCATATCTTTTGGGGTTCAGGAGATTGAATCATCATAATAGACTGGACATGTGGAGTATGAACAAGGGGTGAATGGGTTGGTTTGTTTTCTTTTGCAATCCACCGGAGAGCCTGCTAATAACATGGTAAAGATTGTTTTTTAAAGTAAGGTGATTTAGATAGTTTTAAAGGTGATTTGGGTTTAGGTTTTGGAGGGATTTCTCATGAAGGTGTAATGGATGGTGATTCTTTCCAGGCCGGTGGAGAATATTTGACATAATAGTCAAATTTACTAGATGGTTGACTAAGAAGGCCAACTTCAGGATCATGGTCTTCAAATCTAGAGTGAAGATCTTTTTTACTACACCGAGCTGTCTGTTTTTTCCTTTTGGAAAAGTTTCGTTTGGAAAGATAATGCTTGTCTATTTCCCAAATCGGATCATCACGACAGTCCAAGCATTGGTAGTCAAGATCAAATGGAGTGTGACCAGTGACTGGATCAAATTGATGATAGACAGGAATACTAGATTGTTGAAATGAATGAATGAAAAGTCCAGGTTCCCGTACTACTGTAGTTGGTGAGACTGGAGTGATCATGAATTGAGTTTGTCGAAAACTCAAAGGTGGAGCACTGGGAGTTGCTGGAGACTTAAATCTGATAGTTGTTGTTCCATCACTATTATCATGCATGGTGGATTTTGTAGAAACCATTGGAGTTTCTTTTTTATTAAGAGACTCGTAACTCGTCTCCCAAGAGTTTGGTAACAATTTAATCAAATCATTTCTGGAAATCTGCCTAGGAATATTGATGCAGTGAGGAGTATTCTGAGAGCCAACAGTAAGGAGCAACGCATTAGTAGTCGTAGGAATAGCGAGATCAAGAGCATGGTCTTGGATCCGCCAAACCATTTGATAATGCAAAGTAGCTGCAATACTTCTTGGATTTAAATCTGCACCAACTATCTGTAATTGAACTTTAAGAGCTTTGGAGTAATGAACATCAGAGGGAGACATATTGAAATTAGGAAACAATGTCATTATGATTGTCCCAGCATTCAAAGTTGTATGCGCTGTTCCTATGCAAGCATGTTGATATTGGACAATCTGGTGTCTAACAAAGCGATTCGGATATAAACTGGGATTCCTATTCTGCCATGATAAGATAGAGCTAGCCTAATAACACCAAAGTGTACATGAGAGTATCCTTCACGGATCCATTGGGCAATGGATTCTTGAGGGATTTCCAAAGTAACATATTGTTCTTAAGTTGTGGCTGGAATTTGACACTTATCAAAAGTACTAGTCTAGACATAGTCTCTGGCTGGCTTTCTGGAAGGACTAACAAGAGTTTTAAAGGTTTTAGACAAAGAAGAAGAAGACTTGGAAAATGCTGTATAAAGATTTACAATGGGAGGGATAATATCTTGGATTTTTTGATTTTCTGGAATATAAGATATTTCATACAAACTATCTACTTTAGAAGAAGATCTAGATAAGCTAGTATTTATTGGAGCAGTGAACGTAGATAAAGCTGAAGATGATTCCATATGCGTGAGTTCAACCTCTTAGATGCGTAATACCACATCAAATTGTAAGAATAGCTCAAGACCCAAACATAAAACACAACCATGACTTAAAGGAGCCAATATCTGAGGGGAGGTAGTCCTCCGCACACAAAAAAATTGGAACCAATAAGTAACTTAAAGAAGCCAATATCCGAGGGGAGGTAGTCCTCTGCACACACAGAAATTGGAATCTAGAAGTGTGCTGGCTCTGATACCATACGGGTTACTAGACCTTAGAGATGCTGCCAGAAGACTGATTATGGAGTTTATGAGTAACCCTAGAGATGCTGCCGGAAGATCGACTATGGAGTTTATGCATGTGGGAAACTATGATAGCTAACCTAAGTGAAACCAATCAACACAATGATTGGTCGAAATTATGGTCAAGGCCCTCATCTTATCCCACACACACTTACACCCACACATCTTCTAACATCATCTAAAAGGGCTAGCGAAAATTAAACATATCAAGAACATAAATGAAGAACATATATATTAAACATATCAAAGAACATAAATGAAGAACATATATGGGATCTTTTGCTACCTTAACATTATCAGAATATTACAACACTCTTGAGGTTTAGGGAAAGTTTAGAAGTATGAAGAAAACGTGGAAGAACTATGATAAGAAAGACGTGCAAAGAAAATATACAAGGGAGAAGTGAGAGATTATTGATAAGATAATAATGTAAAAGCAAGAGAAATATACAAGATTTTTTCACAATGCTCCTCTTCCCCCATGAGAAGGTAAAAGCCTTTATTTATAGAGAAGATTAATACATTGCATTCAAGACGCATTAATGAGGCATTTAATACATGACTAGACTTTTTTTTTTTTTTTTTTTTACATTTATTTACCTACAATACTTGACTTTTACAACTCATGCGAAAGATAATACACTGAGTTGGCAAATTGCCATTTAGTCCATGACTATTTTACATATAAACATAAAAGACACAACTTTTATTTTAAGACAAGTAAAGCTTTAATCATCTGACAAGTTTGTAACGCGCCACGAGTCTTCATCCTGGAAATCGAGACAACCCATTGATTGAATCTAGTTAGCAGAGATTTGTCAAGAAGATGTATCTGGATGAGTATTTGGAGAAATGTCTGGAAACTGAGATGTTTGCTTTGCAGAGGTACTTGGTGTATGCATGTACTGTTGTCGCTTGGATTTATGAAGATAGTAATTACAAGACTGCTGAAGCTCTTCTTCCTGCACAGTATCTAGCTGTGAGTCTGGGTACCACCCTTCTAGATAATCTGAAGTGGTATTGAATTGAGCAGTGATGGAACATATGCATGTTTGTTTGGCTTGGAGTAATTTCTCAATGTAGTCTAGAGGAAAAAGTTCCCACAGAGCATCATCACGAAAAGATGGTCATATTTCATCTGGAATTATCTAATTTTTTTGAATTGATCTAGTCTCAACAGGATGGTTAAACATATTATGGACGAGATCATATGGATAAGACCAATGAAATGTGACTTGATGTTGTGAAAAATATAGGCCATCGGATCTGATGGAGTGATGTCTGCGGAAAAACATGATAGACCATGCCATTTTGGTAGACATATGACTTTTTATTGGGCAAGCTGATGAGCAAACACATATTTCTATTTTTCTAGGGTTTTGAGCCATTTGAGAAAAAGTCATTAAAGAATGTAACTCAGAGGTTGAGGATGACAGGTATTGAGATATTATTTTCAACATATGTGGACCGGGAATTGAATGACAATGTGGTACTGGTGTAACATATACCAAAAGAACCATAATAATTCTTCTGGAAATATGATATCAAGACCTGGAGGTAAACAAAAGATTTTGGAAAATGGGTAATCTGGATGGACACCTAACATATAATGCATGGATTGTCCACATTTTTCAATGCATTGAATCTGATAAGAAAACATGAGGGTGGTAGCATTTTCATCAATGATACGAGTTCAAACAAGGTCATCGAATTCAGGAGATACTTCTGGAATATGGTTTGGTGAAGAAGATGATGAATAGGAACTAGACTAGGTTAATGGTTGGAACATGAAACAAGGAAGAGGTTTGGATCTAGGGTTCATGAAACTGACTTGTTTAGTTTTAGGTCTGGATAAATAATCTGCAATGGTGTTGGTGCGACCTTTGATGTGCTGGACGGCGAAGGAATATTTGCTGAGCCATTTGATGCGTGTTTTCTACAACATGCAAAACTAGCAAGTGCACTAGTCGCTCAAGTAATAGAGTGATGGGTAGGATNATATAAATGAAGAATATATATATTAAACATGTCAAAGAACATAAATTAAGAACATATATGGGATCTTTTGCTACCCTTAACATTATCAGAATATCGCAACACCCTTGAGGTTGAGGGAAAGTTTAGAAGGATGAAAGAAACATGGAAGAACTATGGTAAAGATGTGCAAATAAAACATGCAAAGGAGAAGTGAGAGATTCTTGATGAAGAGAAATATACAAGAGTTTTTCACAATGCTCCTCCTTCCTACGAGAAGGTAAAAGCCTTTATTTATAGAGAAGAGTAATACATTGCATGCAAGACTCATAATTGAGTCATTTAATACATGACTAGACTTTTTGACTTTTTTTTTTTTTTTTCATTTATTTGCCTACAATACTTGACTTTTACAATTCATACAAAAGATATTACATTGAGCTGGCAAAATGTTTACTCCATGACTATTTTCCATAAAGGACACAACCTTTATTTTAAGACACGCAGAGCTTTAATCGTCTGACAGGTTTGTAACGTGCCACGAGTCTTCATCCTAAAAATCGAGACAACCCATTGATTGAATCCAGTCAGCAAGGATTTGTCAAGAAGATGTATTTGGATGAGTATCAGGAGAAATGTCTGGAAACTGAGATGTCTGCTTTGCAGAGGTACTTGGTGCATGTATATACTATTGTCGCTTGAATTTATGAAGATAGTTATTACGAGACTGCTGAAGCTCTTCTTCCTACACAATATCTAGCTGTGAGTTTGGGTACCACCATTCTGGATAATCTAAAGTGGCATTGAATTGAGCAGTGATTGAACGTATGCATGTTTGTTTGGCTTGGAGTAATTTCTCAGTGTAGTCTGGAGGAAAGAATTCCCACGAAGCATCATCGCAAAAGGATGGCCAGATTTCATTTGGAATTATCTGATTTTTTTCAAAAAGGATTTTTTGAATTGATCTAGTCTCAATAGGATGGTCAAACATATTATGGACTAGATCATATGGATAAGATCGATGAAATGTGACTTGATGCTGTGAAAAATATAAGCCATCGGATCTGATGGAGTGATGTATGTGGAAAAACATGATAGACCATGCCATTTTGGTAGACATAGGACCTTTGTATCGGGCAAGCTGATGAGCAAACACAAATTTCTATTTTTCTAGGGTTTTGAACCATTTGAGAAAAGTCATCAAAGAGTGTAATTCAAAGGTTGAGGATGACTGATATTAGGAAATTATTTTCAACATATGATGGATCGGGAATTGAATGGCAATAAGGTACTGGTGTAACATATACCAAAAGAACCATAATAATTCTTCTTTAAATATTATATCAAGACTTTGAGGTAAACAAATTTTTTTTGAAAAGGGGTAATCTGGATGGACACCTAACATATCATACATGGATTGTCCACATTTTTCAATGCATTGAATCTGATAAGAAAACATGAGGGTGGTAACATTTTCATCAATGGTACGAGTTCATAAATGTGTGGAGACTGAGATGACTACCTTGCAGAGGTACTTGGGTGCATGCATGTACTGATGTTGCTTGGATTTATGAAGATAGTAATCACGAGACTATTGAAGCTCTTCTTCCTGCACAGTATCTAGCTAAGAATCTGGGCACCACCATTCTAGATAGTCTGAAGTAGCATTTAATTGAGTAGTGACAGCACTTATACATGTTTGTTTGGCCTGGAGTAATATCTCAGTGTAGGCTAGAGGAAAGCGTTCCCACGGGGCATCATCGCGAAAAGATGGCCATATCTCATCTAGAATCGTTTGATTTTTCTAAAAAAGAATTTTCTAAATTGACCTAATCTCAAGAGGATGGTCAAACATATTATGGACGAGATCATATGGATATGATCGATGAAATGTGACTTGATACTGTGAAAAACATAGGCCATCGGATCTGATGGAGTGGTGTCTATGAAAAAACATAATGGACCATGCCATTTTGGTGGACATAGGACTCTGTATTGAGCAAGTTGATGAGCAAACACAAACTTCCATTTTTCCAGGGTTTTGAATCATTCGAGAAAAGTCATCAAAAAGTGTAACTCAGAGCTTGAGGATGTCTGATACTGTGAAATCATTTTCAACATATAATGGACTGAGAATTGAATTGCAATGTGGTACTAGTGTAACATATACCAAAAGAACCATAATAATTCTTCTAGAAATATGATATCTGGACCAGGAGGCAAACATAAGATTTTTGA